TACTATCTCAGGCCTTTGGAAATGTTTGGATATCATCTTCATAAATCATTTCTGCACCAACTCCAAGGGCTCAACATTCTCGCTCAACCAAGAACACGGTGTCTTATTGGGAGCCATTTTCAGTTGTACATCTTTGCATTACAGCTTAGCTTTTAGATCAGTTTTTGTTTCCTTTATTCATTTACGGGATGAGGGCGTCACTGGCCATGCAGCATTTATTGCCTGTCCCTAATTGCCCAGAAGGCAGTTCAGAGTCAACCACATTGCTGTGGGTATGGAGTCACATGTAGGCCAGACCAGGTAAGGATAGCAGTTTCCTTCCCGAAAGGGGCATTAGTGAACCAGATGGGTTTTTCCGACAATTAACAATGGATTCATGGTCATCATTAGATTCTTAATTCCAGGTATTCATTGAATTCAAATTCCAGCATGTGCCGTGATGGGATTCAGACCCGGGCCCCAGAACATTAGTGGGTCTCTGGATTACCAGTCTAGTGATAATACCACTAGGCCATTGCCTTCCCTTATATAGCCCCAAATTTATAAATCTAGAATTCAAAAAAAATTTCTTTAATTCCTTTATCAACTAATCTTTGGATGTTTAAAGAATTTCTCCAAGCACCCCCTTAGTCCTTTTAGCTATGATGTGGAGGTGCCGGTGCTGGACTGGGGTGGACAAAGTTAGAAGTCACACGACACCAGGATATAGTCCAACAGGTTTCTTTGAAATCACAAGCTTTTGGAGCACAGCCCCTTCATCAGGTGAAGTGAAGGGAATCTGCCTATATATTCTGTACCTGTACGCTTCCCTCCCCTTCACCTGATGAAGAAGCAGTACTCCGAAAGCTTGTGATTTCACATAAACCTGTTGGACTATAATCTGGTGTTGTGTGACTGCTGACTTAGTCCTTTTGAACTTTGACCATTCAAAGTGCAAATGCTGCCTGAAAACCTGGGGGACGACGGTGGCTTAGTGGTAATGCCATTGGATTGGTAATCTAGGAGCTCACTCTCATACCCTGGGGCACAGGTTCAAATCCCACCGTGGTAGCTGGTGGAATTTAAATTCAATTACTAAACTAGTCTCTGTGTTGGTGACAATGATTGTTGCAAAACCCGTCTATCTGCCACGGATGGCACAGTAATTTTCACAGTGCCAGGGACCCAGGCTTGATTCCACCCTCAGGCACCTGTCTGTATGGAGTTTGTACATTCTCCCCGTGTCTGCATGCATTTCCTCCGGGTGCTCTGGTTTCTTCCCAAAGATGTGCATGTTAGGTGGATTGGCTGTGCTAATTTGCCCATAGTATCCAGGGATGAGTTGGTTGGCTTAGTCATGGTGAATGGAGGGCTGGGTGGAATGCTCTTTGGAGGGTCAGCGCAGACTTGATGGGCTGAATGGCCTCTTCCTGCACTGTAAGGATTGTATGAAACATGCATCAATAAACTCCAAATCCATAGTAATGGCCAGTTCAAAGCTAATTAGGGATGGGTGTCAGAGGCTGGATTTTCCAATAACAAGTTTTTAAAAATCATGTCAAAGTTTATGTATATTAAAGAGAAGCTGAGCCCCTTTACATCCCCAGGGTCTCCCAAAGTGCTTTACTGTCAATGAAGAACATTTGAAGTGATGTAATGTGGGTGGCAGCCTAATTATGCACAGAAATCTCTCACAAACTGAAATGATTGACTTAAATTTCTATAATGCCCTGATGTAATAAAACAATAACAAAATAGTCAATGACTGAATCATATATTTTTGTTAGTACTGTTAGTTCAGGGATAAATATTGGCCAGGACAAGTGGAAGAAATCCCCAGCTCTTCTACACACTAAGCCCATGGGATCTTTTACATCAACAGTGCAGGTATCTCTCAGCACTGCACAGCATAGGCAGTCAAGATTCAAGGTTCTCAGTCCAGCGTATGCTGATAAGTTTCAAAAGGCCACCAGAAATAACCCAAAGGAAAGAAAAATGATTTGGTTTTAAAGCAATAACTATCAGAGTTGGGGCAAGTGACTGATGAGATGCCTCCTCCTCCCCCAGAGCCTGTTCACAAAGATTTTGGTTGATGTGGTATGAAAAGTAAGTCAATGTGAACATGAGGCAATGTATGGAGGGGTATCTGGAGGGAGGGAGGGATGGTGTGTGTGGGATAAAGAGATAAGTGTTTGCTGGTAAACAGCACTGAGAATCAGCATCAGAGTAAGGGTGAAGGAGAGAGATGCAGGGAGGGAGAAAGGGCTGTTTTCTTAAATTTTCATCTCTAACTTCCCCAGTTGTATCTGTGCTTCCAATCAGCAGGGGAGATTCTCGGTGTCTCTGTGTCACACTCATGCTTCTGATTTCCCCTTAGTTACTCCCCACGTCGTCTCTCACTGTCCAATGTCTCAGCCACCCCCACTCCCCAAATGATTTGCCATCTACTGCACCTTTGGGGATTAGAATTCGGTCCACGTACGTATTAACGCGGTACACACGTTATTGAAAGAATATTTGCTTAAGACACTCGCGCATTTGCAAACTGGAAGGATAATTATACGAGATGGACGTGCCTGGTCATTTGGAATGTGGGGAGAAGACAGAATCCCAGCCTGAGGGGTTAAAGACTGGAGAATCACAATTAAGTCATCAGTTAAACAACAATACTAGTAATAATGAGAAACATATCCACTTCGTTGGATGGCATTCTTAAACAGAAAAACACAGGGGATTGAGAGGCCCTTGGAATTGTTATAAGGCAGACACAAAGGCCTCAGCAGCAAGCAGCTTGAGGTCAACTAGACAAAATTATATTCTCATCTCTCTAAGGTGGGATTTGAACCACAATCATCTGACTCAAAGGTGACAGCACTGAGCCTAGGCTGAGCCAATACATAACTGCTGTTCACTAGTGCAGGTCAGAAAATTCATTGGCGAGGTCAGTCAGGGGTAGACCTCCTGATTCCTCAGCCTATTAAGTTACTTCAATTGCTCAAGGAATTTTGTACATTCCAAATTAAAGCTGTTGCTTCAACATGCTACCTTTTGATTTTGAAGTCTTGACAGAGCAGTGGGATATTTGAAGGAAACGCCTTGTAGGCACATCTTTAAGATCCAATGCAAAAATCTCAAAGAAAGCGAATGCATGATGTTAAAAGTATTGGATGGCACCAAATTAATAAGCCATTCAATAGAACAGTTATTAAGAGAGGATCATTGTACAGTACATACCAGTGTCCTGTGGGAGGCACGAAATAGACACAACAGTGTACTCTAGTATCAGGAATCCGCTTCTTCCGGTTGATATTAATCTCTTCCCTCAGGTACTTCTCATACTGTTCATTAATGTATTTCACAATTGGCTCCCAGCTGTAACACAGGATTCTTTGATTACAAATGTCTCTTAGGTTCAGTCATGAGTCATGGTTTCGCATTCCCCAGGACTTCATCTGGAAAGAAGGCTAAATCACCCCTAATCTCTGACTAAATCACCTCAACGCTTGTTTGTAAATTGCTCACATGGGGACTGAAATCAAACCATCGATGGTGTCTAGAATCATCAATTCACCAAGTATACCTTCTGAACCTCCTGCTCGCTTTCCCTGTCTGTGAGGCTGGGCTACTATTAGAAAGGCAGCAGTTACTAACCTATCTCGGTAAGCAGTTTCTCAGTGCAGCACTTTTTTTAGTGCTTAACTGGAGGACAAATGCTCAAATGTTTTACACTGGGGTTTATGCTGAAAGTGATAATCTGATTAGATGACAGCCTTGCAGATCAGGCATTTAAAACAGTTCATCCTTTGATATCAGTCAGTGAGTCCATATAGACACATCCTGTGTGCCATATGCGAGCTTTCTCTCATACTTGCTAGAAACACTGACATTGCATGAAGAAAGGCTACTCTCTAACACGGGCAGCTGGTATTTCAAAAAAAAATATGGAGTTTATTTTGCAACAGAACAAGTAATCACATAAGTACAACACTTCTGTCACTTAAAATATTGCAATTCACTCTGGACTATACAATATTATTGAAGTGCTTTACTTGCGACAAGAGGGCATAGGTCTAAAATGATCGATAGAAAGGTTACAGGGGAGATGAAGAAAAGTTTTTTTTACCATCACGAGGGTGGAGTCTGGAATCCACTACTTGAAAGGGTGTGAGAGGCAAAAACCCTCAATTCATTCAGAAGGTGTCTGCATATGCACCTCCAGTGCTGTAACCTGCAGGGCTACAGACCAACTGCTGGACAGTGGGATTACATGGGGAAGCTCATTTCTCAGCTGTCCCAGGCAGAATGAGCTGAGAGTGGCTTCTTTCCTGTGCCGCAAACATTCTGCGATTTATCTCTTCACTCAAAAGTCCACTTTGAGTCCAGAGAAGGTCCAAGGTTGGAATAAAAATTGTTTCCATTGGGTAAGGCATATTGACTGTTGGCCTCACAGTTTAACACGCAGGGGCAAGTTACATCCCATGGAGAGGTTGAAGGAGGGAGGACCTGTTTGTAGCAGGCAGTCAAATTCTATACGATGTAAATAATGATTTAAGTGGTGTAAAGTGCTGAATGTGGGCCAGTGGTAGTGCCCCTACAACTGAACTGAGAGACCCAGGTTCAAGTCCCATCTGCTCCAGAGGTGCGTAATAACATAAGGTTGATAAGGCAAATAGGTTAAATAAAAACCAAGTGATGAATTGCTACAATTAATAAATCACTGGAGAACACTTGAACTCTTTTAAACAGATAAACGTAACAGAGAGGCTGAATCATGATACAAACTGTCAACGTACCAGTTCTCGTTGTTTATTTGATCACCAAACCCTGGTGTGTCTATAACCGTCAGATTCATTTTTACTCCTTTTTCTTCAATAACTATACGAAAAATAATTAGAAACAAATGCATCAGGATCAGACAGGTAAAAATACAATTCGAGCAGAACAACACTAGTGTAATGTGTACAGTGAAGAAAATGCAATGTTTCATATCCGTTTTCCAACCAGGCTCAATAACATCACATACACGTTAAACATGATAGTGCATTTCCGCATCGCTCTTGTGAAATTATTAGTTAGGAGCAAACTTTTGGAGTTTTAAAATCATTGGTTCAGAGTTTATTATGATAATCAAAATGGAAGTGTCAGCATTCATTTGCATTACTGAATCTGACTCTGGAGTTTTCACATGTAGTTATACACGAAAATCTGAGTGTTAACGTCACTTTAGAGGTTCCAACAGTCTGCAATCTCTACTGCAACCATGCTTTACAAGAACCTTCACTCTACTTTCTTATGCTACTTGTCTCACTGTCAAATCCTTGAAAATGTATCACTTTGTTGAATGAGGTGTATCTGAAACTTTAGTAGGATAGTAACTTCATATTAACTGCTAAATACCCTTTCTGGCTCTGAGAAACTGATTTTACATTTACAGAATGTAAAATTTCTCCACAACATTTCAAAAATCATATTAAATTATTTTTGTGAGGGACGTTGGTGCTGAGGAACATTTTTTTCCACTTCAGTCCCCTGGAGCAGCCGTTCTAAAGCTGCTATGCCAAGCTTCAATGTTATCTATACTGTGTCCTGCTGAGTTATAACATGCTTCAGCCTGATTCAAAGAAATGAACCCACTGCCACACCAAAGTAGCAGCTTTCCATTGTTATCCTGTGGTTTCACCTACAAGTGTAGGGGACCGAGGGGTGACCTTATAGAGGTCAATAAAATCATGAGGGGCATTGATAAGGTAGATAACCAATGGCTTTTCCCCATGGTAGGGGACTGTAAAACTGGAGGGCATAGGTTTGAGATGAGAGGGGAAAGATACAAAAGGGTCCAGAGGGGCAATTTTTTTTCACACAGAGGGTGGTGAGAGTCAGGAACGGATTGCCAGAGGTAGTGGTGGAGCCAAGTACAATTTTGTCATTTAAGAAACATTTGGACAAGTACATGGATAGGATCAGTATGGAAAGATATGCACCAAACGCAGCCAAATGGGACTAGATTAACTGTGAAAACTGGGCGGCATGGACAGGTTGGGCTGAGAGGCCTGTTTCCATGCTCTGTGACTCTGTACTAAGGGACTACACTCACTAGAAACCTATTTCATGTAAGGACCATTACAGCCAACAACTTTTGAAGAAATATCCTGTCACTCAGGGCTGGTTTGTCAGTCATGGTTGGATTCCAACTCAGTTCTCTGAACTAATAACTCGGTGTCTAATCCAAATCGTCATCCAACTCTTCCCTACCTGCATCTCAGCTGTTTCCAGTATAGTTCCATTTCTAGAATTAGTTAACATATTAAAATCATTATTTGACAACAAGTTGTCAAGTCAATGCACAATGATTGAAAATTATATGATAATTAAGTTCCTCCTCAAGCTTTAAACTAAACAGAGCATCTACAAGGACATCCAGCAACCCCTCCAATAAACTAGCAGCACAATGTGACTAACTGTTATACAGTAGGTCTCATATATGCCTTTGTTATCCCTGGTCTTGACAAACACACTACATGTTCACTTCTCATCTTCCACCCCCCATAACCTTAAGCTTATTCCAAACTCTTCTGGCCATGACCTAACTTGCATTTAACCCTTTTCACTCCTCAACCATATGCTCACTAAAATATATTGGCTTGATGTTCCAAGACTGAAAAGCATCCAAAATTCAGTCAGGATCTGAAGATAGTGAGATTTGTGTGTAGCCTGTCAAGTATGTTTAAGTTTCAAGCATTTGTTTTTCTTGATCTGTCTTGTTCGGGTGTATCTGTTCAAATTGTTAACCTCCCAAGTATAAATGTAGGAGGAACATTTGGAACATGTTAATAATGAACAAGAATGGATAAATTTCAGCTCTTGGTTACTGGGGATTGTTACTGGGGTTTTTAAACTATGGTTCTTACCAATGAACAATTAACCATTGGTGTTGAAGATTAAATATTTTTATCAGAGGTTTTAATTTGAATTTGATAAGGATCCTTTGAACCAAAACCTGGGCACTGAGTGTGTAAACAGATCACTGGAGCAAAGAAATCCTCAGTTTAATTTTGGCTTCAGTTTTGTTGAGGGCAGAGGTTGTACAAATGGGACAAACTATTTCATTGTTCCTTGACAAACCTTCTGTAGAGTAGTTATCATGATGTACACAGATAATATATATTCTTCCGAATACATCACTCATCTACCTGTCATTGTACTTGATGGATTGCTTTACGTTATCCAGCACAAACACAAAGGAACTACCCAGAAGTGACTTTTGACACACAGGGTAGGGGGAAGTTTTAGGCATTTATGACTGAATCAAATGAGTCAACTTACGGCAGAACATAATTAATGTTGAGGTTTTTTTTCAGAAGGCAAATGTTTTCATTTTTAATATTTGTTTGCAGAAGTTAGCAGCAGATGACCTATAGCATTGTTTTACAGTTTTGCTGCAGTAAGTAAATTTTCTTTTGAACAATCAAGATAGCGATTCTCAGGTCAAAATTCAAAGTGTATTGAAATTGTATCAAGATCTCTAAATACACCTTATCACTAAACATGGAAGAAAGAACCTGCGTTTACATTGTACATTCCTGTCGGCACAACCATTCAACCGCTATTCATGTGCAATCACTGTTGCAATATAGGAAACATGGCAGCTCAAATGCTCCTGCAAATCCTGATTGGATTAATGGCTAGATAATCTGTTCTTAGTAATTGTCGATTGAGGGATAAAACTGATTAAGAAGCCAGGGAGGACACTTCTGAACTTTTTTGAGTAGCACTAGACCTTTCTTCTTTATTCATTCACGGGATGAGGGTGTCACTGCCCAGGGCAGTATTCATTGCCCATCCCCTAATTGCCCAGGGGGCAGTTAAGAGTCTATCACATTGCTGTGGGTCTGGAGTCACATGTAGGCCAGAACAGGTAAGGATGGCAGTTTCCTTCCCGAAAGGGAATTAAGTGAACCAGATGGGTTTTTCCCCAACAATCAGCAATGGGTTCAGGGTCATTGTTACACTCTTAATTCCATTCATTTATTGAATTCAAATTCCATCAGCTGCTGTGGCAGTATACGAACCCAGGTCCCCTGAACATTACCTGGGTCTCTGGATTAACAGTCTAGTGATAATGCCACTAGGCCATTGCCTCCCCTTTTGTGCCAATGCATGTGGCCAGACTTGACTTCAGCTTAATATCCTCTCATATGCAATAAATACTGGCCAGCCAGCAATGCCAATGCCCCATGAGTGAATATTTTTTAAAAAATGCCTCTAACAGTGCAGCTCCCCTTCAATACTGAGTGGGAAGGTCAGAGTAAATGACATGTTTCCATCTGTGAATGAGACATTTGCATGATGGACTTTATACACACACACAAAAAACACACATAACGTGCCCATATAGCGTCATACAGCAAGGAAACAGACCGTTTGGTCCAACTAGTCCATGCTGAACATAATCCCAAACCAAACTAGTCCCATCTGCCTCCTTTTGGCCCATATCCCTCCAAATCTTTCCTATTCACGTACTTACCTAAGTGTCTTTTAAATACTGTAACTGTGCCCTTATCCACCACTTCCACAGGAAGTTCATTCCACACACAAACCACACTGTGTAAAAAAACTTGCCCCTCATGTCTTTTTTAAATCTCTATCCTCCAATGTGCCCCTGGTCTTGAAATCCCCCGTCCTAGGAAAAAGACACCTACCATTAAGCTTTCTATACTCTTCTTGATTTTGTAAATCTCAAAATGGTCACCTCCCAGCCTATCTAGCTTTTATTTATAACTCAAACCTTCCATACCCGGCAACATCCCTGGTAAATCTCTTCTGAACCCTCTCTGACTTAATAATATCCTTCCTATAACAGGGCAACCGGAACTGTACACACTAGTCTAGAACAGACCTCACCAAAGTCCTGTACAACCTCAACATGACATCCCAACTCTTAGGCTGAAAGGATATACTCAAACACACACGTATAGACACTTGTGAACCACACGTACACTCACTAATATATATGCATACATCCACATAAGTAATCACAGACATGGGCACGCAAGCACACATGTGCACACAAATGCTGACACACTTGTGCTCATGTACACACACAGTCACTCATGCACACAAACGTTCACATAGCCTGGAGGTAAGATTTCAGACCTGGGCTTTGTTTAGATAAACTGGCTGCACTTATATAGCCTCTGACCGACTTCTCAGAGTCTTTTTTAATAATCTATTGGCATCCTTCTTCTGCTGCTACCCTCCACAAAAACACTTCCAATTTAATAGTAGGTCTCTAAGAACAGCGTGAGATAACATTCTCTTCCACCTTCCCTTGCTGTCTCGCTATCTCTTCAGTTGACATTCAATGCCTGTGTGAAAGTTCTGTATTTTGCCAGTGTTCTACACTCGAAGGAGTCGTGCTGTGTGAAATCAGTGCTGGTCCACGGAAGGGGCAAGGCAGGTGGTGAGCTTCATAGCCAATGAATTTAGAAACATTTTGTAAAGGACAGCCCAATCATGCAGTCAGTCGGGATGTGTACTCAACCATAAGTTGCTCTATGGGGAGATATTGAGGATTCAGACACTATTTGGACATGCTATTATCGTGATGTTCTTCCTATCAGTGTTACAGTTTAAATCAGTGGTGGGGAAATGAATACATTTCTAATTTTGCCCAGACCCAGCATCAGCCATGTCACTGTTATCCATATTAGTGACAATGCTCTCTGCTTGTTTTACCATTTACTTGATGTTGTATGCTCCTGTTGGCAAGATCTGGGTAGAGGGTGAGATTCGGTTCAGAGTAAATTCTGTATGAATATAATCGGATGCATACAGCTAGTGAGGGCTGTGGATCGGTGGAGGCAGTTTTAACCCAC